AGAGTATGAAATAGTGAAAATTTTTTTTTTCCTTAATTTTTTAAAGGAATAATCAATATGATCGATTTAGATCGTAAACGATTTCCTTTTGAAATTTATTAATGTATTTAAAATACAATTTATGATATAAATACACAATTATAAAAAAAGTAATACAAGATAGAGTCATATAAATATTGTTTAATATTTTATTTGATATTGTCACTTAAAATGAAAATTTTTCATTTTAATACTTTAAAAACGAATAATCAATGAATATATGGGAATAAATATTTTTACGTAAAAATCGATAAAACGATAGAGAAACATTGTCGATGAATACGTCAGAACCCTTTTTCTCTTTATCCAAGAGAAGTACTTCGTCACGAGGGACTTAAGCCAGACCCAACGAAAGTTTAGTCCTCGATACAATAAAATCCAATCTCCGTCAACAATTCCGTAAGCTTGAATCGCTCACTGCCTGTCTATCTACCTTTAAATTGAATCGTTCTTTGGTAAAACGTAAAATACAGTATTTCGTGACATTTCTCTTCTAAAGGAAGCTTCCATCTTTATTCGAAAGATTTTTGAAAGATCGTTATTATTCAAGGAAAAGCTTCGAAGAAAAATAAAAAGAGATGGGGGGGAAAAAAAAGAAACAAAGAAAGAAAAAAATACAAAAAAAAAAAGAAAAAATAAAAGAGAAAAAGAAGGAAAACAAAAAGGCAAGTACAGAACACTCATCGTTTCGTTACGTTACCCTTCCGCTGCAATTTTCCGCCTTACGCGTCCGATTCGCTGTGCTTTCATTATCGTTTTTCCCTATTCGTATAAAGAGAGAGAGAGAGAGAGAGAGAGAGAACCATCCGTTCCAAAAAAAAGAGAGAGAGAAAGAGAGAACGCGGTTAAACTCAATTTTCTGCTCTTTAAAGTTTTCCGTGAGAAATTACGTGGCCAATAGTTGTTCGTCGTTTTATACGCATTTATAGGTTTTATAGATTTACATGATAAAAAATTTATTCACCGCGGGATTTCGTATACGGTAATAAACGAGCTTATGCGTGCATTTGATTGTATATATATATATATATATATATATATATATACCTTATTTTTTTTAGAAATGTATCAGTTGAACATTTAATCGAATTTAACGAGATTTTCGACGACGATTACATGCAAATAGTGTATACGCATGTATATATTGGTAATTTACGTAGATTTGTATGTATAGGTACACGTACGACATACAATATACATAATGTATGAGGCACGTGTAAGTACGTCTGTATGGCATATAATTACATACGTATATATATATATATATATATATATATATATATATATATATATATATATACATACATACATGTATACATACACAGAAATATAGTTCCATGACACGATCAGTATTATTATTTGGCTGTTCTTTGAACGATATTAATTGGTATTACGTTTGAGCTAACGATTAAATCGTAGTTATTAACAAATAGGTAATAACGATCGATTTAGAATTGTTATGATCATTTTGGAATAATTTTGATATGATCGAATAGATAAAATCGATGATGATTTGAGGAAAAAAAAGAAAAAAGTAAAAAAAAATAAAAAAAAAAAAAGAAAGGAAAGAAAAATATAATCCTTGGGAAATTAAAAAACTTTCGCGTCTTCTTTTTTCGATTAAATTTCTACCGAAATCGTTTGGAAAATACATAACGAAACTATTTGGAGAATGTGGCCATCAGTAGGAAAAAGCTACTATTTTGCATCTTTTACTAGCAGCATCTATGTAGTATCTGCTATCTCGCTTCTTTCTTATTAGGCATGACCGTGGAGAGTGTCTTATTCAATGTCTTGGTTCTATCTCTTTAATGGTTTTTATGCATTACTATTCTGCATAATAGCTACACTTGTTTCCCTTTTATACATTAGACAAGATTATATTACATTTTTGTTAAGAGAACGAAGATATGGAAAAGAAGAAAATCATTTTGAAACTAATTGAAAATTCTTATAACGATTGATACGTGAATACGCATGATATAGAAAAGTTTCCCTTTTTTATTTTTTTTATTTTTTTCATTTTTTTCTTTACTTTTTTTTGTCCAAACTTATATAATAACCATACGAACAAATTGTATTAATTTTTTAATTTAATACGAAATCTGATAATTCGTAAATTTTTTTTATTGCATCCTCATGAAACATTTGTATTTCAAAATTGGTTAAAAATCATTCAGCTATAGTTTCGTTGTAAATTAAAAAAGTATGTATTTGGTGTTTTGCAGACATTTTCTATTAAATTTTTCGTTGTTATCTATTTGAATATTTTATTAACTTTTAACATTGAAACGTTCGAAATAAAATGTGTATGTTCCTTTCTAAAAGTTATTAAACGATCAATCTAAAATTGTATGTAACACATTTTTCGTTATGGTAGATAAATTGAATGTAAAGTTTTATTGAATTTGATTCGGTCAATTTGTTGCATGTGCATTAAAAAAAAAAAAAAAAAAGAAAA